CCCCAACTCTGTCTCCCCCCCTCACCTCCCTCACTCAACAGACCCAAACCCTCTGGTTCCCTTTTACACCCCCTCCCAGAACTGGCACCCCAACCTTCTGCTCCAGATCACAATCTCCTCCAACCCTAGGACACATCCCAAACCCCTGCACTAGGTCACAACCAGCTGCTTCATCCCAACTCCCTCCCAGACTCACGTCTCCCTAACTCTGTCTCCCCCCCTCACCTCCCTCACTCAACAGACCCAAACCCTCTGGTTCCCTTTTACACCCCCTCCCAGAACTGGCACCCCAACCTTCTGCTCCAGATCACAATCTCCTCCAACCCTAGGACACATCCCAAACCCCTGCACTAGGTCACAACCAGCTGCTTCATCCCAACTCCCTCCCAGACTCACGTCTCCCTCTTGCACCCCAGTCCCTTACCCCAAGCTCCCTTCTGCACCCAACCTCCATTCCAGACCCTGCATCTCCTCCATTAATATCATGGAAGAGTGCGGCCCTCGACCATATTCCAAAATTTTGGAGTGACCCCCATCAAAAATTATTGCCCACCCTTGGGCTACACTGTGATCTCCAACAGGTGGCTTCCGTAGTAGCTCTCTCAAAGGCATCCATGCTACTCTCCTGCTGCTGATGGCTGCACCACTCGGCCTCCTGGATAGTCCTGCTGAGTTGGGAAATGGCGATTATCTCAGTGGAATTACAGAGCCCGAAGTCAGTAGTGACACCTCTCCGCTTGAGCCAAAGGAAAGGATCCCAGCCCAAGCACCAGAGGGTGGGGAGAGATCCTTTCTTGCCAGGGCATGGGCCAGGCATGTTCACTTGCACACATTAAGTGCTGGGCGTGGGGGCACCATGACATATTTCCTTTCATCCTGTCTCCTGTAGAGTGAAAACGCCAGTGAGGAGGCTGGTGAGGGTGAATACGTCAATCTGTATTCCTCTGGCCAAAGCAACGGGGAACTCCCTCACTCTGAAGGAGTAAGTAAACTGGAAGGGACTGCTTGGTGCATGCTGAGCTCATTCAGAGCATAACATGCTTTTTATAAGTCTCTTGCATATTGTGGGCTTCTGTGTTTTGCTGACTTGGCTGCATTGGTGGTGGGCCATCCTGCTTGTCTGTTTTGGTTCTCGCTCTAGACGGAAATCTTGGTTTGGATGGAGAACAGATGATGCTTGGCTTCAGAGATTTGGGGTGAATGTTTTTAAGAACATGGTGGTTGCTTTTCCTTTTTAAAGCTACTTCAGCGTGCTTTGTAGTTGGTTTAGGGCTGTGTACACAAGGGTTTGTTTTTTTCTGGAAAGGTACAAGCCTTGACCTGTAGGTTTGGCGGTGCCAATTCTGTACTAAACACTTAACTGCTTCGGCTTTTTTCAAATCCAGTCTTGTGTTTATAAATTGCCATCCTTTCTCATCACCATTGGGATGCAGAGTAAGTGGTTGATATAATCTCTTAACCCTTTCCTCCTCTGCACAGGTCTCATTTTCCCTGTTTCCTACAAGAGATAGGGCAAATCACATCACAGGGGGTATCATCTTCATAGGCATAGGAACTAGGAGTGCAGGGGGTACTGTAGCACCCTCAGGTTTTACCTGGGGGCTCCACTCCTGGCCCTGAATCCATGGTCCTGGTTGCCAGACACAGGGAGTACAGACAGGAGTACAACAACGCCCAGTATAAAATGTCTTCCAGTGCTACTGATTATTTTCCTGTTATATTGTAGAAAATAGCAAAAGCAAAGATCTGTGATTTTCTGTCTTGTCCACTCCTCTGCCTAGGTGGAATTGTTCCCTGAAGTCCATGATCTAGTGTTTATTCCTGTCTAGATTTAACATCTGAAGTAATGAGGCTCCCACCACTTCCCTTCTATCAACACATCTTGACAATCAGGCAATTCCTCCTCCTTGTTCATATCATCCAGCTAGCTTTTAACAAGGGAAGAGGGCTTCACAGCGTTTCTCACTGTGTAACTTAGCACGACTTTGCAAATACATAGAAACCCAGACTTGGCTGTAAAATTTCTAGGGCGATTCTGAATTCTAGAAATGTGGTTTGAATCATCTCAAGTTGATATGTTGAACCTCCAGGGAGCACTCCATATACTGCAAAATATCTACAGTACTATAAAGTTGTTAACCCCATTTATCTTTCATAGTTATTTTCCTCCTTAATAAATGGCTAATGTGAGGTGTATTTTTTTATTTTCTTTGAACTGCTATTATTTGCCTTCTGTTCGGGTTACTCTCTTTTTCAACATTATGACAAGTGGGAATGTTAGGAATCATTAAAAAAAGGAATAGAGAATATCTGATTGCCTCTATATAAAATCTGTAATATGCTCACAGCTTGAATATTGCATGCAGATGTAGTTACCGCATTTCAAAAAAGATACCTTGGCATTGGAAAAAGTTCATAAAAGGGCTACAAAAATTATTAGGAGTTTGGAATGGCTGCCATCTGAAGATTAATAGGACAGGAACTTTTCATCTTAGAAAAGAGAAGACTGAGGGGATATGATAGAAGTCTATAAAATCATGAAGTGAAGAAAGTAAATAGGGAAAAGTTATTTACTTCTTCCCTTAACAGAGAGCTAGTAAATAGGGAAAAGATATTTACTTCTTCCCTTAACAGAGAACTAGGGGTCACGAAATGAAAGTAATAGGTAGCAGGTTTAAAACAAAAAAAGGAAGAATTTCTACACACAATTCACAGTCAGCCTGTGGAACTCCTTGCCCCAGAGGATGTTGTGAAGACCGAGACTGGGTGACATGGGATGGATCACTTGATGATTTCCTGTTGCTCATTCCATCTGGGGGACCTGGCATTGGCCAGTCAGAAGACAGGATACTGGGCTAGAGGGAATTTTTTGTCTGACCCTTTATGGCTGTTCTTATGTTCTTATGACTTCTGCGGGCTGTAACTAGAAAGAATTAGAAGAGGAGTTTCAGAGAAAAGTTTAGAACAGTCTTGCAGAACAGATGTAATTCAGCAGAGGGCAAGTACATTTCAGCTGCAAGAGTTGATGAACAAATTTGGAGGAAAGGTTAATATCTAGGTCAGCAACTGACTTGTGGTTTGTAACTGTCAGAAGAATTTCACAACTTTAAAAGGCAAACAAAAATAATAACATTCAAGTTTCCCGAGATGCTTTCCCATTTCCTGGCTAATTAACATTTGTGTTTTCCTGGCATTTGGCATTAATTAGCATCAATCTTTAATCCTTCCATAGGAATATACAGTAAAGGGCCGTTTAGAGGCAGCAAGGCTGTGAGTGTGGGATGACCAGTGGTTGCAGGATCCCATGTAATGATCAAAAGCTTCCTTCTCTTCTAGGAATCTCCCGCCATCAAAGACGGCCATCCCAAAGACTCTACTTCGCATAGCAGCACCAGTGGGAAGGAAAGCAAAGATGGTGGTGAGAGGTGGGCCTGACCTGAACTTGCAGCTCCCCCTGCTCCACAGAATTGCAGTGCCTCTGCAATGCTATTCTAGTCCTACCCACTGACTAACAAGCCACATGTTTCACGTTCTGCCTTCCTCAAAATCTTGGTATTGGCAAGATTTTTATCCCATTCAAACAATCTCATGACATCAGGAAAAACTTCCTAACTGTCAGGGTGGTTAAGCACTAGAATAAATTGCCGGGGGTATTTGTGGAATCTCCATCATTGGATATTTTTAAGAGCAGGTTAGACAAACACCTGTGAGGGGCAGTGCTTGGTCGTGCCAGAGGTGCTGGGGACTGGATTTGGTGATCTCTCGGGGTTCCTTCCAGTTCCATGATTCTTTGAGAAATAAAATCCCATCTAACAAAGAAAATCCAGTCAATGCCGGGTGATTTAACAAACTCATAGTGCTTAATGCAGCCCCCATACATAGGAGCAGCTGATCTGGATCAGATTATCAGTCCAATCCCAACTACTTCTGAGGAAAGGTGCAAGAAACGCTGTATTAGGCAGTTACAGAACTGCCTACCCGAAGGAGGTTTCTTCCTCACCTTGTTAGACAGACATGAGCCCGTACCCAGAAGCAGGAGAGTTTACATCCCTTCGGGCTCCTGAGTTATTTTGAAATCTTCATTCTGATAGATGCAGTGCATATTGGTACATCAAATGAGATGTGCACGGCTGTGTTTAGGTAAGAGGAGGAAGGAGTGCCCCTCTTCTTGGGTGTGAGTGTGTATGAGAGAGAGAAAAAATCTTTTCTCTCTGTCCCAATGGTTTTAATTATTACAATGAAGGAAGCAACATAATTCTAATTCCCATCCTAAGGTTAGTATCTGAGAATTAGGGAGACTGCTCTATGGTGATCAGACGCTGCAGTATGATTGACTTTGGAGGATTGACACAGAGTATTATAGGAAGCCAGGCAAGGGGAATCTGTACAAGACCCAACAAAAGGACCTCCGCTGGGAGCTAGGAGAGTGCCAGGGGGTAGCTGTTTAACACGGGAAAAGAAATTGTTCAAACTTCTGTCCTCTCCTCCAGCAGAGAGAAATCTTGTCATCTCAGCCCTCTGTCAACAAAACAGATCACGAACTAACTTAAGAGATAAGATGCTGCCACCATGGATAGTCTTTTCCAACATCCATAAGTTTGCAGAATCACTCGTGCTGTAATAACATGAGGCATGTAATAACACTCGTAATAACATGAGGGATGAGGCTTCAGACCACACGTGGAAATGCTGAAGTGTGCTGTGATGCATGCTGTAGTTAAAACCTACTTACTAGTCAGAAGTCTAGGCAGACAAGTGTTCTGTTGCTGAAGATTTCATGTATAAGCTGCAGTCTTTCTCCTTTCCCAGGAATGCAAAAAACTATAGTATTAGTACCAGGCACTAGGATGTGTTTGCCAAGAGCTGTGTTCTCTGGGCCGTTTAATGAAGACCTGGAGACTGGGCACTCAATGTGAGAACTCTGCTTCTCTTGCTATATGATATTGGTCCTGATGGTCTTTTGCTGTCTTTGCAGGCTGCAGAAGTCACCAGATGATTTGGAATCATCGCTGTTGGAAGAAGAGGTAGATGAGCTGTCTTTGATTGATCACAATGAAATTATGTCTCGGCTGACATTGAAACAGGAGGTAGGTGCTTGCGGGAGTCACTTTCATGCTCCTTGGTTTGTCAAAATTTCGTTGACCACGAGTGCAGAGAAAATGAATCAAACAGCCAGTCAATGTGCAAGCTAAAGAGAAAAACTGATTAGCGAAAGCAACAATTTGCAGTTTTCTGTGTGTAAATTGTTCTGAAAGCAGATGAGATGCCAGCATGGAAAAGTGTTGGCATCAGACCATAAGTTCATTACCAAAGCACAGACTGTCTCATTAAACACATTCTTGTGTCTTTACCTCTTCAGCCTGTACTGATGTCCAAAATGTAACAGCTGAGCTTCCAAGGGCTTCTTTATGTTATGCCCCAGTGCAGGCAACAGCACAATTTGCAGAGTGCACCAAAAAGTTGCATTCGATCTGCCCCATGTGGATGCTGCTGGCGCAGTGGAGCCTACAGCCTCTGCGAGTCCCGGGGCAATGTGTGGGGAGGATCTGGCTGAGAGTAGAATGGGCGAAGCCCAGGATAGCGAGCTTTCAGCACTGCCTGGATCGTGCTTCCCCCCAGCCCTTAGCTGGGGCACTCTAGCAGCAATTTAAAGGGTCCAGGTTTCCCTCTGCTTCCACTGCTTTGAATTGCCGCACCATGGGGAACTAGCCCCCTTTGCCCCCTCCCCGTCAACAGGCCTGTGCTGGCATGAATGAAAATGTACCTAGTTCACATAAATACAGTCCTCTTTCAAATAGGACTGTGTTACTGTAAACTAGATACCTTGCTCCAGCAGCATTCACACGGAGCAGTTGGAGTGCAGCATTTTGGTGTGCTCTACAATCATACCCTGTAGGCTGCCTGGCAGCTCAATATGGATGCAGCCTATGTTAACTAAAGTAATCAAGCATTGGTGTGTAGCCAGGTTTATTAGTTGCCCCCTTTCTAAGTCTGGATGAGGATTTAGTATATGGATTAGTCTCTGGTAGAAGGTTGCAGTAAGTGTATTTTTTTTTCTACATTGCTCAATGGCTTCAGAAGTGCAAACAAAGCTACTCAGCAAAATAGCTGTTCCTGCACTTGAGAAATAACTTGGTTTCTGGCCTGGGTGCTATGCTTGCTTGCTGATACTCCAAACTAAGCTGTTTCTCATGCAGGGCTTGAGGAAAATACAAGGCCTTTGAAGCTTTCAGACTGTCAAGGGGCCGTTCTGACAAACAGAGACAATATTTCATTTACTGGCACTTATGGGAATGTTCTTTGGACAGCCATGATCTGCAGGAGAGAGCCAGAAGCTAGAATTCATTCTTAAGTGGTATTTCATAAGCCTTGCCAGAAGTTCACCTGAAAAAAATCACTTCTTAAGCACTGTTGCTCCATATCTGTAAATCAGGAGTAGTCTAAGGGAGCCAGCCAGTATTCCAGTCTCTTCCCTGCAGGAATACTCCATGTAAGGCCCTTAAGAATAATAGACTTTTGTATAATTTTAGTAGTGTGCTCCTGCTGGACGTACGATAAAGGGAGAGGATGTTTGGTTTGGTGGTGAGGCCAGGGAGCGGAAGCTAGGACACCTGAGTTCTCTTCCCAGCACCTGGACTTGGTTGAGGATGGCAGCAAGCAGGTGACATCTAACCAGATAGTTCCAGACTATAGAATTTGCATGCTTGATTTGCAGTTTTTTCAAACTAGATGAGCTTTGATGTGGTAGAGCAGAGGTAGGCATGGTTAGCCAGCGCTAGCTCTTGGCTGGCTGCCAGCGCCTTATTTTCAGGAAAATATTATTTCCCTGAACATCTGCAGGTATGGCCATTGGCTGCGGATTGCTGTCCCCAGCCAATGGGAGATGCAGAAGTGGTGTATGGGCTATGCCACTTCCTGTAGCTCCCTTTGGCTGGGACCAGCGAACTGCGGCCAACAGGGTCTCCAAGTGGCTGTACCTGCAAATGTGCAGTTAAATCAAGCTCTGGTGGCCTGCTAAGGGCTAACCCTGGTGAATCGCCTCTGGCTTATTACCCCCTCTGTTGTAGACTGAAGGCACCATCTTTTAAGTTTGGAGATGTGTTTCTCGCCTCTTTTTCAGTTTTCTTTATCATGCCATTCCCCACCACCCACACCTGGAAGCTAAACACACCAAATTATTAATGCAGCATCTGTTTGCACAGTTAAATATTCAGAAGCCAGGAAATGCCCAAGTTCAGGCTGAATGTGCAGCTTTCACTCTACACCCTTTGCATCCTAATGCATTACAGCTGGTTTCTGATGCATAATCGCATGCGATTGCTGCTCCTTAATGGCCACTGGAATGCTCACTGGTGAGTAGCATAGAATATTTCCTGTCTGTCTGCTCACAGGCAAACTGTTCAGTTTTTGCTGCTCTGGCCCAAGAAGTGAGTGACCCAGACTGCAAGTCAGAACTGAGTCTCCCTGGATGGCAGGTGGAGTACTCACACTAGATCACAGGACTGGCCTAGCACTCGACACCTTGTCCCAGCTCGCACTTTGCTTTGTGAGGTGCAAGGACTGTTACAGGCTGTACAAGTTAGTGCTGCATTTTAGGCACTAAAGAATTAGGCCACGTGGAAAAGAGGTTTGGCCCCCTGTGTGTAACCTGCTTCTCTTCTCATTGCAGGGTGATGATGGACCAGATGTTCGTGGTGGATCTGGGGATATTTTGCTAGTCCATGCAACTGAGACAGATAGGAAAGGTATAGTGAATGGAATGGAGCAAGCTGGGAGTTTGCAGCTGAGTGTGGCTTTTTCTCTAGTTATGCTACAGACTTCTGTAGTGTTGCCTGCTGATTGTGTTACCATATGCAGATGTGGACAAAAAGGGGAGGACTGTATTAATGTTGCAAAGGGGATTGTGTTTATCTTTGGAAACCGAGCTAAGCTGGATAAGCTCTTATACCATTCCGCTCCACAGCTGTGGTGTTTTTAACTGTTCTGTGTCCAGAGTGTAGCTCTGTGGAGCAAAGCATACCAATGCAAGCGGGTGTCGCCGTTGCCTTGGCATTGCCCATCCTGCCAAAAAATGTCACTGCGTTAGAGAAGAGTAATTGTGAATGGCCCGTGGTGCCATTGATTCAGTTTTCCAAGCGACCCTTCTGCTTTGTATCCTGTTGACTTCAGTTTAATGTTGGGCTGGGGGTAGCTTGAGTGAACTTGTCATTGAAGTAATATCACTGGATTGAGCCAGACATGCTAGTGAGCTGCCCCAGCACTGTTCTGCCAGTGCTCCTCAAATTCAACTGTTGCACCCTTCCGGTTCCAGCCCTCATCCTCACACCCACTGACAACCAGTATTGCCAACCGGAGTGGTGATTTGTCATTGTGTGTAAAAGTAGGAGGTGGGTGAAAAGATTCTTTCATTTATTTGGATGTTTTAGCCCCATCTTGTAATGTTAACTTTTTGCATATTTTCAAGCACTGAACACTCACATTTTAACTGTTCTATTCTCCACACTAATTCTAAAAATAGTTTAATTGAACTCTCCAGCTAACCCCTCAAATCCAGCTCCTACAAATATCAATCCCCCTTCGCCAAGTCCTGTGAATAAAGACGGGATTTGTAGCATTTCCAAAGAATGAAAATAAGATGTTTGCATTGGCCTAAACCGGCACAGTTCTCCTGGATTGCCAGCCAAATTCATTCTGCCCTCATTCCTCTTTAAAATGATCAAATGCATCTTTCATGTACAAACCCTGTTTCCTTCTGTAGCATTGGGCATTTGAGACTGCTATCCAGCACCTAGCAGCCAGCCCGGACATACTTTTCCCTCCAGAAATATTCCTGATCTTTCCTGAAGCATAGGCAAAAATGGTGAAAGTGAAATGGATTGTCCAGCTTAGTACTGCTCTTCCTTGGAGCAGCAGCCTCTTAGAAATGGCCTCTTGTGCATGGTTCCATTTTTGGAGAGCTAATTACTAGAGGGATACATGTGGGACAACTTGTGCGAAAATAGTGAAATCTGAAGAAACTGCATCAAGGAAAGGTTATGAGGAGCCTGCTACGCTTCCCATTAATGCACATCACTGTGTATTTTAGATGTGCGGTAGCCTCCCCTGTTAGCAGTTATCCCTGCGTCGATAGGGAGAAGTGGGAGGGTGAGAGAGATGTGTATTATATTTCTTACAATAGTTGGCAAACTCCTCTCTGCATACACTGCAAAGTTGTTGGTGCAAGTTGAACCCAGAGGAATTCATACTATGCTAACCCAGTGTTTAGGGGACTGAGAGGGTTAATACATTCAGAGCTGAACTGCAAAGATGGGTATGGATAAGAGGCTTTCTTTTAAAGATGAATTTCCTGGCAGTTCTGGGTGCCAGATCATGCCAGCTGTATTCCCTCACAATGCCTTTTGGTTAGATAGGAACCCAGAAGAAATATAACTCCGCTCCCTGTTGCATGCTGCTCCTTGTCCATTTAGGTTTGAGCAGCAGAGCTAGGTGGAATGAGGGATAAAAGAAGACTTGTGGTATTTAGGAATAAAACCTGGGGCCAGCTGTGCCCATGGCTGTGCACTCCTGCCGCAAATGCAGGATTAAAGCTGAACAAGGCACAGAGCTCACCTATAACATGACCACCCACCCACCCTGCTTTAGAGATTATATCTGATCATCGTAGACTAACAGACAGCCACTCGCCACTGATTTAGGAGCAGCAGTAAGGAGCTTTCTGTGTGAGGTTACTGCCAAGTGAAACACTGCAGACAGACAGGAGCAATTGTCATACTTCCATTCCCCCTTGTTTAACAGATGAACAATTAAGGGGGGGAGGCGTTCCAGCCCAATTGGGCTGGAGTGTCCCTTCCTGCTGCCACGGTTGGGCTGGAGTAGCCCCTGCCTACAGCACCCTCTTTTCCACCCTGGGCCCACTGTGGACAGGGGCTGCTCTGGAACATGGAGCAGCTCCTGTCCATGGCAAGCCCTGCAGGGTTGGAGCAGTCCCTTGCCCACAGCGGGCAGGAACATGCACCAGCCCCCACCGCTTACTGGAATTGGTAAGGATTATCCGTTAAGGGTACTGCTTACTGGTTAACCGGTTTACCTTACGCAGCCCTTGTTTTAGGCAAACTTGGTATGTTTCCCCCTGCATCTCTATTAATACACCTCCATCTTGGCCCAAAACCTCTAATGAACCTGTAACTGTCCATCCTTCTCCCCAGAGCTGCCAAAGGATTTCAGGCCTAACCATGCTATCTCCTTTAATTACTGCAGCTTCTCTGGAGCAGAAGGGATCAGTAAGGCCAGAATGCAATGAGTTTAGGCTGAGACTATCAGAATCATTTCACCCGTGTTTACAGAGGGACTAAGCTTCACTGTGGCTGCTTTCTGTGTAGATGCATCCCTCTCGCTATCGTATGCAGATTCCATCTCTTGCTCCCATGACTGTAGACAAAGCCACTGACATCCAATTGTGGAGATGCTTGGGCATAGAAGCACACTGCATGCTTTGTAGCACCCTTTACTAGCCAACATTTGCAGTGCTATTAATTCTTCCCCTCATTGGAAATAGGCTGTTCGCGCTCTCAGCAAAACTAGCAGCAATGCTTTGAAAGTGGCCATAAAGTTCCATTGAAAGGGGTTTGTTTGATTGCACTTTAGCATGACCTGTTATTAAAGGCCCTCTTCTCTGATGTACATGATTTTTGCTGACCCTCTAGGTTGTTGTCTAAGCAAATCTCAGTGTGTTACAACCAGGAGTCAGACAAATGGGGTGGAGAGAATTTTGCCATTGCTTTTATGCAGGGGTGGTCAACCTGTGGCTCTTCAGAAATTAATACGCGGCTCCCTACATGAGGGCCGGGGCTGGAGCTGCAGGTGCTAACTTTCCAATGTGCCAGGGGTGCTCACTGCTCAATCCTTGGCCCTGCCCCCACACTACCCCCTTCCACCAGGCCCCTTCCCCTTCCCCTGAGCTGGATGTGCTCTCACTACGCCCCTCTCCCTTCCAGAGTGTCTTGCAGGATGCGAAACAGCTGATCACTGTGGGCCGGAGGCATGGGGGCTGCCAGCAGCAGGAGGAGGCACTAGGGGGAGCTAATAGGGGGCTGCTGCTGTATTACTGTGACTCTTCAGCAATGTGCACTGATGAATGCCAGCTCCTCAGACTCAGGCTGGCCGCCGCCTGGCAAGAGATAACACTGCAGTGTTGCTGTAAATCTGGATATGAAGTTGTTCTTGCACAGTTTGCCTCCCCGTTACCAATTTTTGTCCTTTTGTAAAGCTGCCCTAAATGTTGAATTCAGTACAGAGCATGTTTCTTTCTGGAGACCCCATTGACTGAGGTGTTGCTGCCTTCCCTTTTAGATCGGGTGCTGTATTGTGAAGCCTTTTTGACAACGTACAGAACATTCATTACCCCTGAAGAGCTCATCAAGAAGCTGCAATACCGATATCCTTCCAAAAGTGCACTACCCTAGACGCCGTCACGGCTCGGAGCGCTGCATTCAACATTGCATGGGCAGGGCAGGAAATGGCCTAATCCAAAGCATGCTGGCAAAGCAGTCTGCGGTATATTCAAGCCCATGTGGATGACACCCCCCCTGTTAGCTTATGGGCAGGAATTCATTGTTTAGTGCACAATTGCTTCATTTCAGTGCAAATCAGATAGCAAGCTCCCTGGGAGAAATCAAAGCTGATGTGGTTTATTGGTCTGCAGCACAAGACTGAGAGCCAGGAATTCCAGGGTTCTAATCCCAACTCCGGATGACTGCTTGGCTTTAGCAATTCTATCATTTGTCCATGCCATAGCTTTCTCATCTGTACAATGGGATAATATTTAATTTCCTCTTAGGAGAACAAGTAATCCTGTAGCACCTTAGGGTATGTCTACACTACCCTCCTAGTTCGAACTAGCGGGGTAATGTAGGCATACCACACTTGCAAATTTGAATTTCCTGGGCTTCATTTGTATAAGCGGGGCGCCGCCATTTTTAAAACCCCGCTCGTTCGAACCCCGTGCAGCGCGGCTACATGGGGCACGAACTAGGCGTGGAATGAGGAGTAACGGTAGTTCGAACTAGGAAGCCTAGTTCGAACTACCTAGTTCGTGCCCCGTGTAGCCGCGCTGCACGGGGTTCGAACGAGCGGGGTTTTAAAAATGGCGGCGCCCCGCTTATGCAAATGAAGCCCGGGAAATTCAAATCCCGGGCTTCATTTGCAAGTGCGGTATGCCTACATTACCCCGCTAGTTTGAACTAGCGGGGTAGTGTAGACATACCCTCAGAGACTAACAAGAATAGATGGGTAGTATCAGAGCTTTCACGGGCAAAACCCTCTTCCTCTGATGATTTTTATTTTAGATATAGATATAGATATAGATATAGATAGATAGATAGATATAATTTTTTTTTGTTAGTCTCTAAGGTTCTATAGGAATACTTGTTGTTTATAAAGTTACACACTGACATGGCTACGCTTTGAGAACTCCTCTCAGGGTATGTCTGGACAGCGCTAAGAGATGCAATTCCCAGCATGTGACATACGCAATCTAGTATGCTAAATGTAGCAGTCATACAGGCAGGGCTTGGGCTAGCCACCTGAGTGCAACCCAGCCCAACCCTCTGGATATTTAGTGGGCTGGCTAGCCCGAGTCACTGCCTGTGGTGCTGTAGCCATACTGCTGTATTTAGCAAGCTAGCTTGAGCAGAATTAGCGTGTTTATGTTGTCTTGAGCTGGGAATTGCCCCTCAGAGCTGTTCAGATGTACCCAGAGAGATGGTGTGTGGATTGATGACTGTGGAGTTACTGGTGAAAACTAAACTCTCAGTATTTAGACCTCCTTCCTGCCACCAATACTTCACATTGGGGTTCTGAGCTGAGCCCTTGGTACCGGTATCATGGCTAGGGCCCCTTACCTCCCGGCAGATACTTCTGCTGTGACATATAGAATATTACATCTAGAATGCCCTTCCCTTGGCTCCTATCCCATAACTCCCTCCATTGCCATGGCACAGAGGTGCACAGTATAAAAGCTTCATGGGTTTTCGTCCAAGGCATCCCTCCATTGCCATGGCACAGAGGTGCACAGTGTAAATGCTTCATGGGTTTTAGTCCAAGGCCTGGTGTCATGCTGTCCAGAGTGACAGCTCCTCACTGCCACCTTCAGCAGAGAAGATGGCCCTGCTGTGGTTTATGATCACCAGACACAGAGCCTCTGGTGTCAAGGTCAGCTGTGAAGTACTCACTTCTAAGAAGTGCTTGAAATTCAGAGCCACAATCTGGAGTTCTGTACACCAGAGCTTTTGTTGTTGTTTAAACTCATTGTTGTTTGCTCCTCTCACCCCGCCCAGCCCAGCCCAGCGGTTGAAGAAATCTTCTCAATTCATGTTGCCCCTCATACATTCCCCACAGTAACCACGGCAGCCATCTTGCGGGGTTTGAACTGGGCAGAACTCTTTAGGTCAGTCAACTTTCCTCAACAGCCAGTGTTGTCTGCAAGTGACCAGAGGCACCCCCTGATCTCTGCCTGCTGAGGGAATGAGAGACTGGGTTGGGATTGAGCTCTGTGCACTTACAGGAGAGGTCAGGTGGCACCGTGAGGCCAAGAGGAGTGACAGCAGCTTGCTGGACTGGCAGTTGACTCAGTTGTCATCTTAGAGATGATGGTTTCAGGGTACAACCACCTCCTCCCCCCAGTGCGCCCACGGAGTGACGTGAACCCTTCTCTGCTACGTGCAGCCTGTACTGCTCAGACCACCAGCTTTAGTATTTCATGTCCCTCCTAGAAATTGAGTGCTGGTCTCAGTCATGGCAAACCGCAGTGATCCTGGCAGAAAGCCTCTTGACAAGGTTAGTTCTTTAACTTGTGGCCAACATATGAGAAGTTCTGTCACTTCACAGAGACTTTTAAGAAGCGAGTGAGCAAGAACACATTCTTCGTGCTGGTGAGAGTGGTGGACGAGCTGTGGTGAGTTTCCCTCCTGCTTTGTTTGGGGGCCTAGGCAGGAGATAATAAAATTGGAGCAGTACTGTCATGTAAACCACATCGGGGTAGGGGGAGCCCTGAAATTTCCTTCCTCAGATCAGCAAGACTGCGGCAGGCTGGGCACTTGTGGTGTTAGCTGGGCAATGCATGTTCTCAGGGCGCCTTTTCTGGGTCTCACTTATAACTTCAAAAATAAACAATTTGAAGGAGAATCTTTCCAGGGAAGGAAAAGTTCTCCAGAGGGCGAACTGGAATGGCCTGGATTCAGTTAAGCTTCTGGGAAAAATAATTGAATTGTGTGTTGAGCTCACTTTCCTAGATGGGAGTCTGAGGCAGAACAGTAACTGCGTCGATTTCTAGGGACATCCCTAATGACACATCATTTCAGTTATCTTGGCTGCCTGCGCATCTCATCTGGGACTGTGTTGTGCTTCCATGCAAGAGTCTCCTGGTTTGAGACTGATTTAGAACTTTGGTCCCATAAGGAGATGGAAGGAAGGGAGAGATTACTGAGATGGCCCGCAGTGTACTCAAGGGAGGAGTGCAGCATGAGATGCCTTTGAGCAGTCCCTGAGAGCTAGCTGTAGGTACTTCAGTCTCCCCAGAGAGCTGGTTGTCATAGCAGCAGTGTAACAGAGCGAGTGTATGGATAAGAAGGCTAGCTCGCAGTGCAAAGAGCTGTTGAGATAGCACATCAGGAATAGCTACCCAGAATTGCAGATGGGAGAAGCTTAGGGTGCTGTATTAAAAGGCTAAGCCATTATAATTGGGGGCAGGGGGCATACATGGGGTGGGCTTTTCTGGCTGCAGGGGGTGAAGGTAATCTTACTCAGGTCCCTGGAAGTCAGAGCTGCAAAAAAAAATTTTTTTCACTGCTCAATTCCATGGGGGAAGCTCACCCTCATATTAATTTTGGACTCTTGTCCTAATTTCTAGTGATAAGAGGAGAAGTCCGTAATACAGGTCCTAGGTAAATGGAAAATGTCATTTTTTTCTGACTCATCTCTGATGTGTCCCCATCCATGTCTCAGCTTAGTGGAGTTGACGGAAGAGATCCTAAAGTTGTTGATGGACTTGGTGTTCCGGCTAGTCTGCAATGGGGAGCTCAGTCTTGCGAGAGTGCTACGCAAAAACATTCTGGATAAAGTGGAGCAGAAGAACATTCTGAGATACGCCAATTCAATCAAACCTCTAGCAGCCCGAGGGGTGGCAGCCAGGTGAGGCAGCCTGCACCTATTCAAACCTTGCTCCTGCCTTTCACTCTACGCAGAGTAGGTCAATGCACAGAGTTTTTCGGGGAGGGGGGTTTCGGGGGGGGGGTATGCTTTTCCTAACCCTTCTTTATCTGTCCCTGCCCAACACACTGTCTTCTCTTCTCTGTCACACCTTGTTTTTTAAGGCACGTGTGTGATAGAGCTCCATGAGTTACCCCTGTGTGCTGGTGAGGCTTGTGTGCAGTATCTGTGCTCGTGGGCTAATCAATTACCTCCTCAGAGCTCCTCATCCAGGAGCCCTGTGAATGCGCCTGCCTCGTGCCGACATGCACTGAGACTCAGTCAGTCCATCCCTTTGTTCTGCAAGGGAAGAGACACACAGGAAGTCACTGGCAAACTGGTGGAAAGAAGCATGTGTGAGATTTTAAAAATCCTTTAGCGTAGACTATGAAGCATAACAGAGAATCTGGATGCCTGAGGGATAGGACACTCCAAGCACCCATCTTGAGCTTTAATGACACTCTGGTAAGCTTCTCAGGGCAGGGATCTGTCATTTTGACTTGGATCCCCTGTCGTCTTGTGTAAATGATCTCTCAGCACTCATCACTTCTAGATCAGGAGAGGAGAAAGTGACATGTTTAGACCTCTGTATAATTAGAGACGCTGTGTGCAAAGGCTCCCTTCCCCCATTGATATTTGTATTAAGATCATCATATATGCAAGATAAAGGGTGTGTCTAGACTACAGGGTTTTGTCGACAAAAATGGACTTTTGTCGATAAACCTATGCCTGCGTCTACACTACCGCCGAGTTCTGTCAACATAATGTTGACACAACTCGGCAGTTTTGTCGACTGCGGGAAACCTCATTCTGCGAGGAATAACGCCTTTTGTCAACAGAGTTCTGTCAACAGAAGGCTTTATTGCATCTACACTGTCCTTTGCATCTACACTCTCATATCGACAAAGCGGCTTGCTTTGTCGACAGAACTGGCTGTAGTCTAGACGCTCTTTGTCCACAGAAGCCTGTAGCTTAGACGTACCCAAAGAAAAACCAAGAGGAAAAGTCAAGTAGTTGATATGGGAGCTTGCAGTGGAAATTATGTTAATGCCACAAGTATGGACTGTTTTCTCGTCCTCTGCAGACAAAGTCTCATTTAAAAAAATTCTGGTGCCAGTTCTACGCTGTGTTACACCCATATCATGGTAGTGTGTGATTCCAGTGGCCTCAGTGGAATTATGCTTCAGCACAGCTGATGAAAGAGGTGAAGAATTGGGCCTCTAGCTCTCTCCTCAGTTGACCTTCATGAAATAAAACAAGGGCTCTTATTGTAACCACCCATTTGTCTTCCCAGTGTCAGTATTTTAAAGGAAAGAAAGTCCATCATGGTTTAATTAGCCTTTGCCTTTCCCTCTTTGTCTCTTACAGGCCTGGGACCTTGCATGATTTCCATAGTCTTGAAATAGCCGAGCAGCTGACCCTTTTAGATGCTGTGCTCTTCTATAAGATAGAGGTACAGACACAAAATCGGGGGCTAGGGTGGAAGGGAGAGGTTTTAACAAATGCCTTCAGCAAGTTCTTATGCTGCTTTCCAACTGCTCTCAGGCATACACCTGTTGTGGTTGTAGGAGAAAGCAAGGTTTGTGTCAGGGGAGGTCTGTAAATCATGGGGATTATGGGGAATCCACAGACAGATGTTTCATTTTTAACTCGTGGCTCATTCTTTTCTTTTCCCCCCCAGATCCCAGAAGTTTTGCTTTGGGCAAAAGAGCAAAATGAGGAGAAGAGTCCCAACCTAACACAGTTCACTGAGCACTTTAATAACATGTCCTACTGGTAAGGAGATTAGACCAACAGCCACTGTACAGAATTTAACATGTCCCAGGAGCCCAGAAAATCTCTCCTTGAGCTGTGCTACCTTATGGCTGCTTGTTTCAATGGTTTTGTCTTGTAGTGTTTTGCTTGGCACTTTTGCTTCCTCCTGGGTGTAGACCCAAGATATTCTGCAAAGAATCCTATGTCACAGGAAAATGAAACCTTGTGGACTTGACTTCAGGAGACAGCTGCATCTCCAGGCTTTATTGCAAATAACACCGAGGGCTACACAACTTTGGAAGCCCCAGGGGCCACAATGATACTCCTAGCACATGCCAACTTAAATGTGGTTGCATATGCATGCAAATATATGCAAATAGCTTCTTCACACTGACAGGCATGAATACAAAGCACTTCCCACAATGCCCCAGCGCTCCCGGCATCTCCTCCGTGGCAGCTAGAAATGTCAACACCCTGTACCAATCTGTTCCAGCCAGCCTGTCCTCTTGTGTCTTTCAATGCCTGGGAGACCCCTTGCCGTTGTGGAGCATGTTCCTGGTGGAGGCCATGTTCAAAGCATCCCACCCGCGGGCTATGGGTTGAGCCCCGCATAAACCCAAACTGCACTGCGGGCCGCAAACGAATGGGCCGCGGGCCACATGCAGTCACGGGCTGTGTGTTGAGTAACCCTGCTTTAGACAAACACCTGAGATATGTGTGCATGTGCCTCTTGCCTATCTCAAACTAAAATCCGTAGAGAAAGGAGGGTACCATGTCAAATAGCCAGTCTGATAAAGGATTTGAACTGCAGTTAAAAACCGATCCCTTGGGTAAATTGATCCCTTAGTTCCTCACATGTCCTCACAAACCAAAGGAGAATGGCACCCCTTTAAGAGGAATTAATCCTAGGATGTTAAGTAGCTCCACTTTGCATCTAAGAGTGATGGAATTCTTCCACCTCATTCCCTGTAACATTCACTGTGAGAAATAACCTCTCTCTCTCTTTCTCTGCATGGGAGCTTCCTTCTGGTTTTGGTAATTTCAACTTCTGGTGTTTTGGGGAATTAAAATATAAGTTGCCCCGGTATACATCTGTTCCGCACTACAGTCATTGACGCTTGTAGGAACGGATGTGTTATAAGTCCTCCCATTCCCCTCTTTTAAGTTGCACCCAAAAAAATAAATAAATTGTGCAAATGGAAGTCAGCTGCGAGAAAACAATTCCCTGCTTTAAGTTGTTTCACTGTAAGTCCAAGTTTTTTGGAACATTTCTTGGACTTATAGCAAGGACGGCCTGTATTTGCTTAAGCTCTGTAGAGAAGAAATGGGACAGGAAAGTGTAAAATTTCAGCCTCGTTCATCACTCTGTTAGCTAGTAGCCACTCAAGTGAAGCAGCAGGTATTGCTAGATCAGATTCTAGCTCAAGGGTTAGCTCAAGATTCTAGCTCTTCCTCTGATTGCTAGATCAGATTCTAGCTCAAGGGTTAAATCGCTCTTCCTCTATTTTTGCCAATCCTCACAGGGTCCGTTCGATAATCATGCTACAAGAGAAACCGCAAGACAGAGAGAGGCTGCTCCTTAAATTTATAAAGATCATGAAGGTAACAGCTCATTCCTTGTGATTCACACACCCATTGTTCAGTGCACTTATGTGTTTTGCTGTATGTGGGACATTCCATTAGGGGCAACGCTGTTTGTCTTCCACACCTCTAGAGTCACTAGTCTTTTCCCTCTTTACAGCACTTACGAAAGCTGAATAATTTTAACTCCTATCTGGCCATTCTTTCTGCGCTGGATTCAGCACCCATCCGAAGGCTGGAGTGGCAGAAACAGACATCGGAGGTGAGAAAAAGCAGTGTGATCCCTGTGGACATTCCCATATTTAAGCAGAAAAGAGAAATTTTGTTATGAAGGGAAACGATTATGTAAGTTCTAATAACTCAAATGTGTCTTGGGACTGAAGGATAGTGGATACACACTTCACATGGTGGATGGTATCACCATTCTGGAAATCTGTATTTCACTTCAACAGCATGCATTGTAAAAGCTGCAGACATGCAAGTAGCATCATAGGCTAAGAAAACATTATCTCTCTTTCTACAGAGGTCAGAGGTTTGAATACTGATAGCATGTGGGCTTGTGTATGTATAGTTAAGGAGAAGGCTTGGTCCTTTCAATGACTTAGAACCAGCTCTCTGGCTTACTATGATCCTTGGGGATGCAATTTCTTTAAGTACATGCACCCTGTTAGAGAAATGGCTTCTTTGCACTATGAATTCCACATCCATGTTTTATGTCCTTCTAGGGCTTGGAAGAGTATTGCACACTCATTGACAGCTCCTCGTCATTCCGGGCCTACCGAGCAGCGCTGGCAGAGGTGGAACCTCCCTGTATACCTTACTTGTGAGTAGCTGTTCTCTAATGGTCACTAGTTTGTCTCCTCTTACTCGGGGTGTCTCTTTGTGCAGGTCCCTGGCAGCCTTTCCTCAGCCATGCATTTGTTTTTCACCTTGAGAGTGGGACAAAGGGTGCAGGATACTACCCTTACGGCAAGCCTTCCACTGATGCAAGGCTTCTGTGTTCTAAAATGTGAGGAAGATGATGCTTCTCATTCCTAGTCATCCAAGAACTGCTAAGAGCCAGAGTGGTTATGTATCAGTTCCCTTGATCATAGAACCCCAGAACACTAGAACAGGAAGGGACCTCGAGAATTCATCAAGTCCAGTCCCCTGCCCTCACAGCAGGACCAAGCACCATCTAGATCTGTGGTGTCCAACACGCTAGCTACATGTGGCTATTTGGCTGGTTGAAAGTGGCTAGTTCGCTTTCTGTAGTGACTACTGCTTCAGAACTGGTTGAACACCACAGGGATTGTCCCTGTTAGATGTCTATCTAACCTGCTCTTAAACATCCTGGCTATGTCTACAGTGGCGGCTTCTTGTGCGGAAGAGTTCTTGTGGAAGATTTTTTGCACAAGAGCGCATCTACACTGGCATGTGCTTTTGCGCAAGAACATCCATGGCAGTGTGGATGCTCTCTTGCGCAAGAAAGCTCTGGTGACCATTTTAACCATAAGGGCTTTTTGTGCAAGAAATTCATGTTGCCAGTCTACACTGCCCTCTTGTGGAAGAGCTCTTGTGCAAGAGGGCTTATTCCTCGTGGGGAGAGGAATAACTCTTCCGGAAGAAGCCCTGTTTTCCAACGCTGTACTGTAAATTTACTTGCACAAGAACGCGCGTGCAGTGTAGACAGCAGGCAAGTTTTTGCGCAAGAACAGCTCTTCTTGCGCAAGAAGCTGCCAGTGTAGACATAGCCCCCCAGTGTTGAAGATTCTACAACCTCCCTAGGCGAGTCTTTCCTAATGTCCAACCTAAACCTCCCTTGCTGCTATTTAAGCCCATCGCTGGCATTCCCCTTTGTGATTTTTTCGGAGGTAGTTCTCACCTTTCACAGCAGGGATCCTATGGCGGTGATGTAACCTGTTAACTGGTAAGCTTCATCCTTAATAGGTGATGTTTACTGATAATCCACGGCCTGGCCAAGCTGAAGCAGCCCACTGCCTGATTCGGGTGGAGAGATGCTCTAACCTGGCCGTGCTGCGGGTAGGGGGTGCTCCCGCCCAGCTGGACTGGAGCAGTTTCCTGTCTGGCCCGAGCAGCCCCCCAGCTGCAGGATCCCAGTTAACTGGTTAACCAGGATTTTACATTCCTGTCTCATAGTCTGGATGCCAGATTCACCATGGGTTTATATGGGCTTTACCAGCATCAGTCCTGCCTGCCCCAGATCCCCAGCAGGGGAAAGCTTGTTAGAGAAGAACGTACAGAGGCACAAAATAGACCACCTGTTAAGGACCATTGAGAATGAGACCGCCCCAAAAGGAACAGAGCACAGGAAGGGAGGAGTGGCCATAGGGGAAGAAAAACGTGATCCAGTGCCTTCCTCTGGGTGGCTTTACCCAGCAGGAGACCCAGCAACATGGAAAGCTCTCCTCCTTTGCAGAAAACTTGAGAGAAGTCTGAAAGTGCCACTCACTGCCCCCTGCTTCCAAGAGCACTGACAGCCAGCACGTCTTGTGCCAGCTTTACCTAGTCTGCTCCCAACTTGCAGATGCACTGAAGTAAATAATTGTTCTCTGATTCTGAAACTGGTCCCCGGTATCACTGGTTTAAGCATTAATGCTTCATCTGCAGGATCCCCCCTCTACACGTATGAAGGCAGGAGCCTTTAGCCTTTGAAAGGACTGACATCCTCTGATTTCAAATGCAGGAGCACTGAGCAGTGGGGTTGATTTTTACTTGCCTTCCAGCTGGCGACTAACCTGCAGCTCTGTGCTTTTCTTCCCTCCTCCCTGCATGCTCCACTCTTCTCTCTTCCAGAGGCCTGATTCTGCAGGACTTGACATTTGTTCACTTGGGAAACCCAGATTACATCGATGGCAAAGTGAACTTTTCCAAACGTTGGCAACAGTTTAACATCCTGGACAGCATGAGGCGCTTCCAACAAATGTAAGTACAGCCAGCTGCCTGGCCTCCAGCAGGGAGCAGAGACTTGAGCTGCCTTTGAGGTGTTCTTACGCCACTTTGGGACTAGGCACAGGGGGATGCGAACTGTGCTGTGCTGCTGCTACTGCAGCAGAGAGGAATCCTGACTAGGAGAATGGAAGTGGCGTAAAGTCAGGGGTTTTAGGGCAGTCTGTGAGGATCCTCGAGATGACAGAAGAACTGTCAGTTTCCTTGAAGTCTTTCATTCTTTCGAGCTCAGCTACGATGCCTACAGTGTGTTTACCTAGTGCATTATCCAGCCTTGTTTTAAATGTTCCATGCAGGAAGCCTTCCATCTCCTCTCTTCTCTGCTGAGATTTATTCTTTCTATCCATCTTCTGTATGGCTGTTGACTCATTGTTCTCTGATACTTGCGGGTTTTCCTCCTAATGCTCTGTTTTACTAATGTTTGCAGTTATATTGGGCATCTGGCAACTGCCTGGATTGTTGTTCTTTCCCTTTGTAAAGTTCAGTACCACATTTGCCTTTTCTCCACCAATACACTGGTATCTACAAGCAGATGGTCCCGTTGTACAAATTTCCCAAATTGGAATGTTAAATGTATTTCAGACCAGATAGTCTGGAATTGCCCTAATTCAGGGGTGGTTCATGGGGTAAGCTAGCTGCTGTGTTAATTGTAATGTTCTCTCTGGTTTTATAGCCATTACGACATCAAAAGAAATGACGATATAGTCTCTTTCTTCAATGACTTCAGCGACCATTTGGCTGAGGAGGCCTTGTGGGAACTGTCTCTTAAAATCAAACCTCGAAACATAACGAGGCGAAAAACAGACAGGGAAGAGAAAACCTAGGAAAAGGGGCACATGAGCAAGGAGAATCGCTCTGCGAATGCACAGAGGGCAGCTATGAGACTGGAGTAAAAACTTGTACCTGTTACTGGATGACGCACTCTTCCTGCTCCGGTGGCAAGAGTCGCTTGCTTCCTGGGTCTGTGAATGTTGGATTCTCTCAGCAGAAGAATTGTGAATGTGTGTGTCACATCAGACAGCAACAGCCAAGGAAAACCAATGCTCGCTCCATTCTCCTTCCTCCACCTCCCGTCTCTCCACGCCGTCAGTCAGCTTTAAACCTGTGACGAGAGTGCCGTGGAAAGAGGCTCCTCTGTCAGCGTGTGGCTGGTTTGCCAATTGATGTTTTACATGTATTCTGAAATACTCTTGCTTTTGTCTTCTGACACCAGGGGGCAGCAGCAATAGCTCCGCAGCCAATAAGCTGCAAGGGTGTGTCTGGCAAAGCACCTATACAGCTGGCAAAAACTGTGGAAACCCTGGATTGTTCCCTGTTACCTTCTTGTCTCCCATGCAGTGTGGTCGTGAATCACTTTTTCCCCCCAGGGAAGATGGGGCGGCAGGCTGGAGGGGCCTTGTACTCTTCTTGCCAGAGAAGCTCCATTTTGGAAGCATTTTTGTGTGTTTACAGGGTTATTAAATCAAATTGTCCCAGATTTCTCTGGTGGAAGGCAGCCACCAGAGATATGGAAGAGGCATTGAAAACATAGGCAAGGACTGCTGTCTTCAGTCATCCCATTGCCCTTCCTCCCCCAGGTCTCGTTATTTAAAGATGCTAACTCTCCCAGCTCTGGGAACGTTGACTAGCCAAGGTACTGCGGCTCAAGCACCCTTTGAGCCCGTTTCCCTTCGTGATGGTACTAGCTACTGCACAGGAAATACTGTAGTGTATCGACTGTTTGTAAATACTAGTATTTAGATCCCACGGAGGGCGGGGGTTGATGCATGTCAAATCGCCAGTGGGTTTAAGGAAATCAAGTGCAAAACAGTGTCTCTAAATCCACAACTAGTGAAAACGTCTTTCCGAGTGCTGGAATAAAAGAGGCTTGGGGCAGCTGAGTCTGGAGTGGAGGATAGAGGGGGTCGTCTGGAACCAGGAGGAATATTTCCAGGATTTTAAACGCTAAGGTGCAAAGGAAAGGACATGTGTTTGGTGCTAAGACTGGTTATCCTCTCTCCCTCACCCATCTCGCTTGGGGTAGCTGCCAGAAGTGTTATGCAACCCCCTCTGCATAACCCTTGGTGCTGCATTTATGTGACCTAAAGGTCGGAAAAGCCAGAAGGCATCGTTGGGTGGCAAAGTTCTGTCCACAGTACAGTCAAGATTCAGTGGAACACAGGCAGACTGGCACATACTGGGAAGTTAGCACATCATGCGTCATGTTAACCCTTATCTGGTCCATGTGCCTTATTCAGTTTCTCTACCATTTACCCCTCTGGTCATGCCCTCAGATGAGCAGTGCAGCTAGGATTTTCCACCAGTGCAGCTAAGACTGGCCAATTCACACCTGCGACATTTTTGTGTCCTTCATCAACTGTTTACAGCGTTGGTCATGTTTTCAGGAATACGTGCAAGGCCTCGTTTGGAACTGTGTGGTGTAGTTTCCCTGATGGTGAATCACTGGGTTTTATAGCAAATTCTAACAAAACCTTTGCAGCTTTTAGGGATGTAACTCTTAGGGCTTCTCCCAGCAGCATTCACTTCCTCATCAAGAGATGTTCAGTGTCTGCCAAGCCTACCTAGTTCTGAGTGAACCAGGGTTACAAAACCCTTTCTTCTTCACACTCATAGCAGTCGTTCCTTGTCCCTTTTGTTAAATGGCGGCTTTGACTGACAATCTGTTTGATACCAGATGGAGTGGTCTCCCCACAAACCTTGTACCTATTTAACTGAAGGTGTATTTTTAAACCAGTTTGTGTAGATACTTCTATTTCAGTCTGAGTGTCTCGTGGCAATTTAGCTTAAGTAAATTCTTTCCTGACTTAAGCTAACCTGAAATAAGAGTCTCTACACAGTCTGTTGCACCAGTTTAACTAAATCTGTTTTTAAAGCGATATAATTTTTTCAAGTAGAAAAGCCCATAGTCAGATGCAGGATTAGTTTTCTGTGCACGTGCAGCATTCTTGCTTGTTCCTGACATTCCTCTATTTGTCTTTGCCATGTTACCGGCTGACTCATTCTAAATGTGAATGGCTAGCTGGGGAGAATGCATGAAATGATTATTCAATCAGTGCAGCTGTATTTCATGTAAAGGGAATATAGACACGACCAAGAGGTCAGCCGACCATTCCTGGCTAGTTCCAAGCAGCCTGTAGAAAGGGGAACAGCCAAAGAGAAGCCTGTCAATACTGAAGAGAGGAAATTTAACAAGTTTAAGAAGCCAGATTTGTTGTTTATGAAGCTAATCTGTGAGAGTTGTTGAGCTGGCTGCTTTGCAGGATAAAGTCGTAGCTGACTGCGAAGCAGCCAACACGCTCCACCTCTTGCTTAGTTAGAATCCTTGCCTGCTTGGTCTGAGCACGTCACTTGGTTATTTAAGGCGAGTGTTGTAGCAGAGGTGATTTATAGCAGTATTGGGTGTGGTGTTGTGGCTAAAATTGTCCTTTCATTTCAGTGCATTCCAGCTTGGTGCCTAGTGTGTGTGAGTTGTGCTCCCTCTGGGTTAAAGTCTGATGAGGCTCCCTGGGACTGTCCCATCTCTTGGCGGGAGGGAAGGGGGGGCAGAGGTGGCTGGGGGAGAGGCCTCAGCAGGCAGATGCACCTCAGTCAGAATGCACCTTGTCCTAAGCTGCCCCACCGATGCTCATGTCTCGTCTGGCTTTGCTGTGTAGCCGATTCAAGTCCCTGCTGTGCAACTAAACTGCAGACAAGACCCCCCTGAACCATGCATAGGAGGAGACAAAGCTGCCATCCGCACACAGCCAGCTCCTAATGAAAGGAAGCCACTGGTGTGTGTGCTGGCTGCCACGTGGCTGCTGTGAGGATCAGTGCTCGAGTCCTGGTTGTGCAAATAACCAGCTGGGGGAGGCTGCTGCTGTGACCCAGACCCTATCAACACGGTGCCCAAGGCAAAGAACTGGAGAAGGAGAAGCAGCTGGGGCTGGGCAGCAGGATGAATCACTCCGTAATTGCCCTGTTCTAGGCTTTGCCTCTGGAGCATCTGGCACTGGCCCCTGCTGGAAGACAGACTCCTGCCTAGATGGCCCATTGGTCTGACCCAGCAGGGCTGCCATTTGGGTTCCTTGGTGGCAAGCGGAGTGCTGGCTTGCCTCTCAAGTTGAGGTTTGTGCTTGTGGTTTTGAAGAGTAGTGGTCTGACCTGGGGACTCGCTTCATGGACAGGCGCTGGGGCGTGGGGGCGGTGTTCTCGTCAACGCGTAAAAACAAGCTTCAGTAATGTTCCGCCCTGGCCGGGGCAGGCCTAGCCGTTCCACGGGCGTGACGGTTTCACTCCTGCTCTATGCTTCACTGTGATCAGAAGCCAGACACCAGAGCCATCTGCAGGCCTGCGAATGCATCGGTCAGTCATGCCTCTTGCAGGCAGAGTCCTTCGACCGTTTCCCCTCTCAGAGGAGTGGGGCTTCCTTTTTTTAAAGCTTTGACTGAAGATTCAGGCGGAGGCCAAATAAGAGATGTTGGCAGTTTGTATGTTACTGCTGGGATGACAGCAGATATACTCAGAGTTGTGGAAGGGAGCCCTATGTTACCCCGACTCTGCTGAGCCGCTTGCCAGCCCTGCTGATCCCAAGTCTCTCTCAGCCTAGAATGTTACATTGTTCTCTATTGACCACTAAGCCCACCCTGGTCGGGACATCTTCCTGCAAACATTTCAAACCTGTACCTTTTTATATTAAAGCAAAATAAACACAGATAAAGAACCCAGCCTAACGATCATGTTTACAGTGCATGCAGCAGTCTGCAGATTAAAGTGACAATCGAATCCACTTCTCCAGCTGGTGTGGCCTCGTGTTTTCTGTGGTTTCCATCTGCCTGGGTCTCATTTTTCTGTTGGCCTTTTGTTTTCTCCCGGCAAAGCATATACACTTCTCAGAGCCAGAACATTTTTCTTCCCCCTCCCTGCCCAGCAGAAGCCTATTTCTTGGCCCACAATTAGGAGAAGGGTCACTCTCTCACCGTCCAGGAGGTCTGCTTGCCTCTTTCATAGTCCCCTAGTCAGGGGATGCAGAGTGTAGCACATGTGAAGAAGGGTGTGTGCAGGTTGCCAAGGGGCATTATGACACTCCACACGTGCCTATAAATAATTGCTCCTGAGGCCTGGATTGCTGAAAATGTGGTGCTCCTGGTCTATTTCAGTCCTGGATATGTTTCAAAATTCCACTGGAAATAATCTGCATCTGCCAGATCGGAGCATAGGATGCTCAGACACTGACCGAGTCGCATACCAAAAGCAACGCTGAAGTCGGACAGCTTTGCAGGGCGTGACACATGGTATGCCACATCAGAGCTGGCTGGGAAAAAAAAAACGTGCCTTCTGGCAGTCAAGCTGCAGCTGAGGGGCGGGGGGGACTGTACACAAGACTGTCTTCCCATTTACGCCGTAATATAGTGTGTGTGTTCATTGTATCCTCACTGTAAGGCAAAAAAAGGGAGGCCTAGTATTTTGAAACAGGCCGAGGAGTCAGCCCTCCTGGGTTCTGTTTGCAGTGGTGTGGCCATTTCATTGCGACCATTTGCAAGTCATTTCACCTAGCTGTGTGTTTCAGGCCCAAAGGGGGGTGACACACAGCTCTGCTTTTAAGCAGTTGCCATGTTCCACTGCAGAAGTGGCCAAAGGGATGGGCGAAGGGGATCTCTGTTTGCTCCCTGAACTGCCTTGCAAAAATGTTAAGAGCTCGCTGAACTTTGAAAGGCTCAATCCAGTCAGGTGCCAAGAGTTCTTAACACTCAGACACTTCGTGGGAGCTGAGAGTAATGCCTGGCAGCATTGAGAGAGTTGGCAGAGAGTAACAGTCGTGCTTCCCCAGGGACTGAAATGTGCTTTGATTCCTCTCTCCGGTGTTTCCCTCTTTGCTTTTAGCTGCTAGCAGTTAGGTTCACTCTGACATAAAACTGCTGCCTTGAGGAGGAATTTACCCTACTGCATTCAATACATTAAATATAGCTAATCACAATAGTACTTTCAACACTTGCTACCATGATGCACGGTAGGTGACCTTTGGCTTTAATCAACACCTGTACCGCTAAGTTTAGAAGTCTCCACTCATCCTCTCTGTGATGAAAATGATCTAAGTCAAATGAACAGAATATCAGATTTATACAGCGTTGTAACCAGCTAGGTCCAAGAATGCTGTAGACACAAGGGGGGATGAGTTAATATCTTTTATTGAACTTCCATTGGGCCAATAAAAAATATCTCATTCTCAATATCTGGGAGTCACAACAAGATCAAAAGCTACAATGGTTCTGGGACCAGTTTGTATCTGCATATTTTTGGCAGTTGTACTAAGTGATAGATATGCACATATTTCAGGCAAACTCAGAGTGGAAGATCATCAATATTTAATTTTGATTCCTAGGTTTTTTTCATTATTAAAGCTTCTGTTGCAGTTGTGATTTTCAGCTTAAAATGTTGTGTGTAATTGTGTTTATGTGTTATTTACACATGCTGAAAGAAACCTTAAAGATTCCACTAGGGGTACAGCTATACTGAGGGGGGTTTTCAGGATACCAGAGGTATCCCGAAAAAACTTGCAAGGACAGCATGTGGAGACCCCCTTTTCTGCCTTTCTCAGGGGTGCAGGGACATGCCAGCCACTTCCAGGAGCAGCAATTACCACAGGGATAATTACTCCAGCCAGAACAGATGAAGCATTTTAGAACTCACTCCTCAAAGAATTAAATTTAAGCGTAAGAGAGAAGTGAAAATTATGAAATGCACAGACCAGTCTAAAACCAAAAATAACCCACTCTGCAAGCAGTAAAAGAAATAACAACAATCCCCCACATGTGTTGGGTCTGGAGATGAGAGTGAAGGAGAGTGTGTGTTTGTGAGAATGATGGCGCCTTCCTGGCCACATCAGTCAGGATCACCTGTCAGAGGCTCCAAGATCTACTGATAAAACCCCATCTACTGGTTGGTGACCACTGCTGTAAGGTGAACACAGCAGGCAGCCTGAAGGAGAAAAGAGTTGGGAAGAGCAAGGCCCATGAGTCCCAGGAAGAAAAGGAGAGGGAGATGCACCCCAGACACAACGGGGCCTCTCCAGAAGCAAACACATATGTTGCAGACTCTGTGACCTTCAGGTTTAATAATCCCAGGTTGCCTCCCTTTGCAGTCCATGGAGAACTCCATTAAAGCATTCCCTCCCACTCTTCCTCCCCTACCCAACATTGCACATGGCATCAAAAAACCCTTCCCATGCGCACTGGCGAGGGGGAGCCGCACTGAAAGTTGCGCACAGCGGGGACGCTCTGGGGCGGGGGTGGGAGGATGCACAAGAAGGGGGGGCTGGCAGGTGGGTTTTTTTATTGCTGGAGCAGGGCCCTCGGCTCTGAATATTGGTGGAGCATGGGCACCC